ACATATTCTAATGTACAGAATCGCTGAAAAGCAGCTCAAAAAGAAGTGTAAAAACACGGGGACCACGCAACCTGCTGAAAGCTGCGGCAGACCCGTGACGCGCATCCAAAGCACCGAGTGCGCCCAGAGATACGCAACAACGCCTTTCGGCGAAAAGGCCACAGAATCAGCTAAGTCAAATGGGTGTGGGTCAAAAATTGGTACCCAAATGGATTCATTTCCCTCGTACATGGAAACAAACAAGGACTAAAACCTGCGGTCCCCTGCTGGTTTCATTCTGACCCATACCCAAACATGGCTCTCTGCTTGACAAACCGAGCCGCAGCATGCCCATCACACATTCCGCAATTCCTGTTGACAGCACAAATATCAGCTTCCCTCTATGTCCGGAGCCACGCACTTCTCAACCTCTGGGTCTCTTACTCGCACTGATTTTGCCACGAGTGAAAGTCACTTCCTCATTGAGCTGACGGGCTTGGAAGATGCTCCAGGTATTCCAACGCTCCATACCACCTGCTTTTGGAAGTCGAACAGCAAAAGAGATCCAGAGGGACACCATGGTGCCTTTGCGGGATAGATACAGCTATGATCAATGACAAAGCTTAAGCTGAGCTATAGTATAGCTTGTGATCTGAGCGCTGCTGATCTGCTCAAAACAGATCAACAAACCAGCGAAAGCCTGACTAAAAAGCGTTCACGGCAGTTCAATGCCGTGCTTTGCAATCTGCTTCAAGCACATTGTGAAAGGTGCTATTGCAACCCATATAAACATATATAGAGAGAGAGAGAGAGAGAAATATATATAACCCATATACTTGCCCCAACAACCTTGATGTGAATCTCAAAGACCCCAGCAACGGAGAAAAACACGATGATTTCTTAAGACATGCCAGCGGCGCAGAAAGGCGACCACATCGCTCATCTCGCTTTGGAAGGGCACCTGCGCCGACTCGACGGGACACGCTCAAAGGGGCTGGGATGAAACCGGACGAAACGCCTCATCTGTGCCACGCACCTTGGAAAACCCACTTTTTTGGTTGGTTTTAAAGGGAAGCCCAAAGGAACGGTTGGTTGATTTTAAAGGGAAGCAAGCCAGTGAAACTGCTTCCCAGCGCTTGCCCCCCCTTGCTAGGCAGGCGCAGGGCGCTCCTCTTCTTGAAGACGCTTTGTGCCCACAAACACCTCTAAACAACAACAAGGATCTTCGCATGTGTGACCATATTATGGGGACGATACTAGATAAATGGCTCGAGTTATGTGCCTCTCTTGGAGACTTGTGCATAAATGTCCTGACTGAATTGAACTTTTCAACTATTCAGAGCCCCGATCGGGTCTTGTAGGCCAAGTTTGAGTCCCGAGCATCATTGCATCGAGGCAAGAGGTATGTCCAGCTAGAGGACAGGAAGAGCAACCCTTTGGAGCTGGGGCAAAGGTTTCTGCCAATCCTGCACTGTGGGTCGTCAAAGTGGACCCCCCTCCAAACACAATTATGGTGTCTTTCCTTTTGGTTTATCTTTAAACAAACCCAAGGGTAGACCTCACAACAAAACACACCCTGGCAGACGATTCTGCGAATTGATGCTTTGGCGGGCCAACACCAAGCAAAAGGAACAACCACCCCTTAGATTTGGGAGTTTTCTTACGTGGAGACAAACAAACAAACCCATGTCAACGTTCTTGGCAAGGACGACCTTGCACGGTTCAAATCCCAATGGGGGATCTGCTTGCGAATCCTCTTGCACGAGTGTATCGGATATAGGAAGCAAGGTTGTTGGCCAAGCTTTTCGGCCCTTGACCTACGTCAGTGTGACATCGGCATGTGTTACCACTTCTGTGCCGCAACAAAAAGGGCCTCCCGCTGAGTAACTCCCCATATAAAGAGGGGATTCCCTTGTATCACAGAAGTGGGGACAAAGCTTTCACAACCCTGGTTAGCCCCTATAATAAAACAGTGCCCTGGTAAGCTCAGCGGCTGGAATTCAAAGCCTCTAGCCAGTTGCTCCTCACCAATGCACAAGTGCGTAGTGCTACCGTACTTCCCCAGAAATCAAGACATGGCCATGGGTCAAAATCCAAATCGTACCCCCAGTGAACATCCCAATCCCCACTAAAATAGGGTTCTAAAATGGGTGGTGCACCTACCCCAAAATGGTACCAAACCGGTTTTGACAACCACAGCCACATGGATGCCAAAACGGGCTTTCCATCTTCCCAAAGCCAAGTCCTCTCATCGGATGGATGCGCGGTCAGGCGAAGAAACCCGCTGAGTCGCGGCACTCCCCGCAGCCGCAGCACTTGGCTGTAAATCCTCGGACTTGGCTCCGACGAGTCCAACAAAAAACGGTACTAAAGTGGGCCCTCGGACTACTGGAGAAGACGAAAACCGAATCAAGACCTGGTATTCAAGTGACAACCTGGTATTAAAGTGGGCTAGAAACATGTAAAGAATCAAAACGTGCGGCGAAGGCACCCATGTATGTTTTCGGGCTTTGTATGGCTCAGATGTCAGGGAAGTCTTCAGCTCACTTCCTGAGTGGATTGCATGACAACCCCAGATGCAAATAAACTTCCCTGGTCCACTTTCACAGGAAAGCGTCCCCATTGGCCAAGCTCGAGTTCGCTCAGAGTCTTTACCAAGGGCTGCCAGGATCGGCGCTCAGTTCACTTCAAACTCGCGAAGCTTCACGCCCTATGGACATGGTCTGTCGGGGATGTCCATCTCAGGCGCCCGCGGAGTCTGAGGCATCTCACCCCGCGCATAGCCCTGCGTGGAGACTGATACCAACCGAACAATAAATAAATAAATAAATAAATAAATAAATAAACAAATATGTGGGTTTAACCGAAAAAGTATGATCTCCCCAAAAGTTAAAGTCTAAAGATCAAACCCACAGCAAACTGCAAGCTGGTCATGCCAGCGGGCCAATCCTTGGGTAATTGTCAGAGCTCACATACTTATTGATTGATTGAGCTCATGAAGACGGTGATTTGCTTTCACTTGTCACCCTTGAAGCACCTGTATCATGCCGAGCTGGCAACCCCACAAGAGCCGACCCACCTTAAATCAACTTCCCACAGGTCTGGGCAATTATGCCTCACCCACAAGGTGCTTCACTGGGTTTCTGGAGGTTTTCTAGGCTGTTCGAGACCCTGGAAAGAATGGGGAAGGTACCCCGACTCTCACAAATGCTTGATTTGGCAGCGTTGCTGGTTTCCTTTAACACAATTCAAAGAAGTGTCTGCCGTCGGCATCTCCAAATGCGCGGACACAAAACAACCACCAAAACACCACCCCGGCGGTCGCTCGCCTGCATGACCTGTTCAGCTGCATTCAATCTGGGCAAATGTCTCTAGTTCACAAACCGGAACTGAGGAATCCTCAAGTAACTTTCTCCAGCTCGATTTACCATGGTGAGTCCATTCCGGGCTTGCCTATTTCTTCGACCTAGGCCGATCCAAATGTTGGGTTGGCCAAGTTTGACCACCAGCGCAAGCTGCAAAGGAGCCATTCCTTCCGTGAGGCCAACAACCTGGCGGATTGCCTTTGAACCGCCCAAAACCCACGTGTGCCACTTTGAATGAGCCCACAACCAAAATGCCCCTGAAATCACAAGGATGAGCCCTTGAACCCTCCTGATTCGGAGGCACACACCCACTGCAGTACAATTTTGGTTGAGTGTTCCAGCAGGCTCGCAGACAAATGAAAGCTTCGTAAGCATGGCATAACTTTCCGAATCCCTTTGAAATTGTCCCTCTTCAAATATCGGGGTGATTATTTTTGGGTTACCCTCAAAATGTGTTTTGCTGTTGGTGTCCCTTAAAATAGGCCCGAGAAGGGTACTGCCCGTTCGCTTTTGGCGCTAGAAGAGAGATTACTTAAACCCGGATCGACTGGTCTACCAACCCAAGCATTGGAGGTTGGCACCTGTCCATTTGGTTTCAAGAGGAAGTGCTGGCTCAAATCATATCCAAACCACGAATTGGGGGCAAGTGGACAAGCGGGGTGTGATTCAACCTGCTGATAAGAACCACATCCGGATCTTTTGGGTCTGCCCAACAGAAATGGCATGGTTTTGGAACAAGGTTCGCACAGGTCTAGGGGTAACTTCCCCATTCTTTCCAGGGGTCCTTCTTTCTAGAAAACCACCAAAAACCCTGGGAAATAGCTGGTTTTGAAAAGGACAATGGCTGAAAAGACTTGGGAATCAACCCCTAGAACAGCCCAAAGCGCCTCCAAGAACATCCGCAGTGCTTGCGCAGTGTGCCGCGCAGGGTCCCGGTTGCCAGTTCCTTGGTCATCGTTGATGTCCAAAGGGGATATTCAAAAACAACCCACGCCCTGTTCGCTGTGGTGGTTCCCTTCGTTTCCGATGAAAACAACTCATAACATGCTACCATCAAGGTTTATACACGTCTACCCCCCTGGCAAAAAAATAAGACAAGAACATATAAATCATCCCTCCTGTAAACACTCCCTACAAACTGGCCCTGTCCCAAAGGTGATGCTGCAAGAGCCAACCTTCTGGGGATTCGAACATGGCTGGACACATGCAAGCAACTAGAGGTGTATTTTTTAATAGTGGTACCCCTTGTTTGGTGGTTCTAAAGGGAAACCAACGGGAAAAAACCACCATGTTTGCGATGTTTGGAGGGTACCTAAAAAAACGACACACCCAACTGCCTTCCGTCGAGAATGTGGAGGTAGTTGTTTCTGTCACCATGCAAAGCAAAAAGCAAACCTGAGGGGGAATCCCTACGGACGGTTGGTTTTCTCGGGTTCCGTTTGCCATATCAAAGAAGGGTCCCAAATTCCGAGCTCATGCTCGATCAAACTGATCTTTGCATAACCTTGTTAAATCAATGCCGGCTGTTGCAGCACATGCACAATGGCTCTGCCACACAACGTTTGGGTTTGTCTCAAAATAGGAGAACCCCCAAAAGCAGTGGCGTCCCTTTAGTTTCCGTTTGAAAGCAACCCAAAAAGGGTTGCGTATCTCAACATGTCCGTAGACTGCTTGCATCAATCGCTCAAACTGAGCTCCAGCCGAACACAGGTTTCCAGGAAGTTGGTCTTAGGGAGGGTCGAAGGGTTCAAGCATAATTCACCACGGAGGCCCCCCCCCAAAGTGCTGATTTCAGCACCCATTGTCAAAGTCTGATCTTGCACGGGCAAGTCCCCCAAGTTACCTGGCACCTGACTCTAGCATGACTCAACGCCACTTGCACTATGGCCTCTGGCCACCATCAACCAATGCAGACCAATGCATATGTCGTGCTAGCGTCGTTCAACCAAACCAGTGGCGTCTTAGGACAAATTATGAAGTAAAACATCGAGTCGTGACATGTGAACGAGCACGGCTATTCACATCTGCGTACATGCATACATGAACATGCATGAATGTATACACATAATTGACTATGATATGCACAAGTGTATACCCACTTGTGCACATACATAAGATGTACATGTGTGTACATATCATTAGTATATATATATATATATATGTATTGGCATGCGGTATGTCACGGTTCAAAAAAAGGGGGCCCTCCAAATTGGCGTGTTCTCTTCAATTCCCCTTTAACCAACCCCAAATAGGAATCAACCACAAAACACTTACACACTTTCAGCCTTTAAGCCCCCAAAAAAAGGGGCTTCCAAAAAAGGACACCCGTTTAAACACACCGCAGAAACCGTCGGTCCGTCGGTCGGTCTGAGGGGCGCAAGACGGAGCAGAACTCTTCCCACTTCACCTTCCCGTCCTCCTGGGATCTCTGGATCCTGAGCTGAGCGCTTGGGCTCCAACTGGCATTCCGATGCCTACTGTGGACGATCCGTTCGCACCACTTGGAAACCATGGTTGAAACCAGAACGTTTGTTGGTAGTTACGTTGGGGAATCATCATTCCAGGGTTTCTTAGGTGGTGCAGTCTCCAACTCACCGAGTCCGAGTGGCCAGAAAAATGGCCATGGTTCAAAACCGCTTTGGGATCCCATTTTGGGGTTTTCGGTGCACCACCCATTTTAGAACCTACTTTAGTGGGGATTGGGATGTTCACCGGGGGTACGATTTGGGTTTTGACCCATGGCCAAACATGCCTTGTCGCGAGGGTCTGGTAAGTGCGAAGGTCTAAACTTTTTGTGTACCAATAAAATGGTCCTACCCAAAAAGTGAGCAAAATCGGTGTGTCTGTTGTTCGGATTCGGACCGGGTGCCCCAAATGGTGGTTTTCGGTTTTCCTGGTGCTGTCCCTTTAAGACCATCAGAATAAATGATCGAATAAATAAATCAAACTATCTACACAAGGTCTTGCTACTGAAATTAAACGATCTCCTCGTAATCCTGAACTTAATAATTGTTGAACAAATATATTTGCTGTTCCTGATGTTCCTGGTACTCATATTAATGGATATTCCGATTCATAATTACTATGAATCTCAAAAGGGGTACCCTCAGAAAAGACACCCCCTTCCACCAACTGTCTTTACCCATGGTGGGTCCCTGGAAGATCAAAATCCACCAGGCACTCTTGCATGAAGCAGGGTAAGAAAAGATATACTCATAAATCACGCCTATCTACTTGTTGCATGGTTGTGTGTGTGTGTGTGTTTGTGTGTGTGTTTTTCTCCTTCTGTTCTTTTGGGGGGGTGGGGGCGGGGGTCTGCTCAAAAAAAGACACCCATTTGTTCCGGACTGACTGGTTGCCCACGAAACAACGCCCCCCAAGCAGTGGACCGGTACAATGACCAGCGACGACCCCGAACCTGGACAAAACCCACGGCAGCTGATGGATTCCGCATCATTCAGCTCAACGACTCCCAAAGGTGAATCCGGAATCCGGAATCCCAACTTGAAGCGTGCCCTGCACTCCCTTCTACTCAAGCGAAAATGCGTGGGAATGCGCCACCCATTTTTGCTGGGGGCCCTGCATGGCCCTGCTTCCACTCCTTCCAGTCATTGGAGGGTAAAACAAGCTGATCTGGATCGGCCTCCAAGAAAAGAACCCTTGACATCAGGAGTCATGAGAAGTTCCCTCACCTCCTGCGTGGATTGGCCCCAAAAAACTATGTTTTTGTTTTAGTACTTGCCACGAAAATGATCTTCCCAAAAAGTAGCCAATTCGAGGGGTGAGGCACTCAGCTCTCAGCCCATAGGAGAGTACCCGACCCTCTGACTGGGCAACGAATTGAATCCCGTGAGAAAAACAAGAAGTGACTTTTGGACGCACCAAAGAGGTCAAAGAACAAACATAGACCAACCCCTTTCGGCTTCCTTTGAAGGAAATCACGAATTCAGAAGCGAGTTTCAATCAAAAAGCCACAATGAGGCCGAAGCAAGGCCCCGAGGCCGAAGCGAGGGGAACAACCACCATGATCTACGGAAAGGGACGGATATCTGCGCTGCTGCGCCTCCAGACAGTCTGAAGCCCCGACACCCCGAGGCCCCGGCTGCTTCACTTGCGTCACCAGCTGCTCCTTCTCCTCCGTCATACCGCCACCCATGGGACCCGTGGGAGCCATGGCGGCGCCTTGGGCTCCGGTTGGGTTCCGGGGCGGCAACCTGTTTCAACCTGCAACCTCTTGGACTCTCGGACTCTTGGTTTCTTAGGGTTTTCAGTTGCAAGATCGACTCGAGTCCACGGCACGAGTCGTAAACAAACCCGACCAAATGAAAAAGGATGCGAAGCGAAGGCGTGGTCAAAACGTAAAGTCAATGATAGATTCCCGAATGAAACTGGACGACTTTGAGAAACTCAATCTTGCAAATTCCACTTGAGTGGACTTTGATAGTATGAAGGCTGGTTGGTGCAGGCTGGATGGTGCAGGCTGGATGGTGCAGGCTGGATGGTGCAGGCTGGATGGTGCAGGCTGGATGGTGCAGGCTGGATGGTGCAGGCTGGATGGTGGATCTTGGCTTGCCACTCTTTGCAAGTAGATATCGCAAAGTTATGCAAACTCCTTGCAGCTTCCACTTGCCCTGCGCAGTGAGCCAGCCAACCAGCGGCAAGCACATGGACACGGGAAGTCAAACTCAGGCCACCATATGGCACCACAAGACACCTCAGCTCCACCACCATCTGGCACTTTAGCAACAAGCTAAATATGAGGGCTCGTTCCACATAGGGGAAAAGCACTCAGAATTGCTTTTCAAGTGAGCTTCCGAGCCCCATATAAAAGCCATCCAAGAGAAAGTTGTCGAAGGATACTTTAGACATTCTGGCAACCGCGGTGATTCGCGAGCCAAGACAAAAGGTCCAACACAGGGAATCTGAGATTCTGCATCTTGGTTGTACTATTGTGTCCAAAACCTGAAGTAGGGGATCCCAACTAAAGAATCTTTACCATGGTGAGCTCGTTTACACCCGAGTCGGTGAGCTCGCCATAAATATTGCAGAGCGGGCTTGCAAAGACATCGCAATGAACATAGTCTCCCATAAAATTCAGGACCCTGCCAATGCCTGATGAATGGTTCCTTGTTGCCATCCTTGCAAACTCAGCGGAAAGGGAAGCCGATTCAACTGATTTCCTTTCCAAGCATCGGCTTCGTTTTAGAGGGACGAAACGCGTTTGATCTCTGAGCAGCTTCTGCTTTGCAGCCCTTGATCCAGGCATAGGCGCTGGTTGAGTCCCTTGCTCGCAACCTTACCAAGTACTGTAGTCAAAGTTGAAGGCACATTCGCTAGATACCCGAAGCATCTCGGAGCCACATGCTGATTGCATGCAATGGTGCCTTAAACCAGGACTCGGAAACGAATCTCACTGGTGCAGTATAGCGGCAAAGGACGCCACCCCCTCTCTGTCTTGCGTTTATCTCAAGTTTTCACCACTGAGAACCTGGCCATAGTTCGCCATGCCTTGGATTCGTTTCCCGCTAATCCGTCCGACACAGTTTTCAGTTGGTCGAAAGGCGACATCATGGTGGCAAACACGTTTGTGGTTCCTCTAAACAAATACATCGCCAGTTGGATCACATCTCAGTGCTTCCAAATGCATGCACCAGGCGGCAATCTGGTGCTTAGCCACTGGAATCACTCAGAAAAAGGGGGTCTGAAGGGGAGCGTCCATAAGAAACCTATGAAATAGGACGAACAAAAGGGCAGGACGCGATTGAAGGCAGTCCGTCCAGCCAAGCATGAAAGCAATCCTTCGGTCACTGTTCGGTATTACTGTGGATGGACGAAATCCTGCACCACGTTGAAACCATGGCTGAAATCATAACGTTTGGTTGTATTTACGTTGGGAATCGAATCATGCCTGAACGGATTTTGCAACCCCAAAAGCCCAATAAATACCATCAAACGGTTAGGCTTCGACCATGGTTTCATAGGTGGTGCAGGATTTCAGCCATGCACAGTATCATTGTCAAGATCAAGACCACGAGCCACGAGCAGTCCCTTAAATGGTCCCGTGAAATGGTGCGGCTTGCCTTTGTTCAGCTTCCCTCAAAAGGGGTGGTTTCGAGATTGGTGGTTTGGCGGTGAAACAGAGGTGGAAAGCCCATCTACCCTCCACCAAAGCCGGGGACCCGTTCGAACCCAAATCCAAACCGGGCTCCAAACCACCAACTAAGGGATACCTGATTCGCTTGCCTTTGAGCACTGTCCCATCCTATGAGAGAGATTATCTCACACTTACCGCTTTCGGCTTTCTCAGGCCCAATGGAGCATGGCTTAAGCCCATGCAATATCACGGGAGAGATGCCTTCAGAGCCTGAGAATTGTCATTTGGAAACAGGCCTGGCATTGGAAGAACATCAAATGGCCAATTGGTGCTTCACATTATGGCATGATCTTGCATGAATGAATGAATGAAAGAATGAATGAATGAATGAATGAATGAATGAATGAATGAATGAATGAATGAATGAATGAATGAATGAATGAACGAACAAACGAACGAACGAACGAACGAACGAACGAATGAACAAACGAATGAAGGAATGCATGCATGCATGAATGCATGAATGCATGAATGCAGGAATGCAGGAATGAATGAATGAAATGGAATGGAATGGAATGGAATGGAATGGAATGGAATGAAATAGAATAGAATGATGTGGAATGATATGGAATGGAATGGAATGATATGGAATGCAATGGAATGAAATGACACATAACTAAATAACTAAATAAATAACACCATATAGACATAAATACAAAACACATGGAAAGAACATCAACAATCTATCAAATGCATGAACAGACAATCATATGTCACGATGCTGGGGTGTATAGCACTATGCAAGCTGGCAATGCCCACCCATGTGGACTATGGGTCGCTTCGGATTCTGAACTTTGGCAGCGTGTTGAAGCGGCCCCTCCTCATTTGTCCAAGAATTCATGGCAAGCTCCAGCAAGGATCCCGCGCGTGATTCCCGATGCTTCCCGGTGCAAGCAAAACAAATTTGTGGATTGGCACAGCTGTCCTCAGATCCCCTGCTAGAAGTTTGACTTCTAGTGGATTAAATGCAAGCCCCCGCTAAACATAAAAAAAAAGCCAAGAAGCTAAGGAGACGGCTGGGGAACCTCCAAGACGTGTCAGACTTTGCTCTCCCAATCCCTTCCCATCACCATCCCATCAGCGGTGCCCAGCCTCCAGAAGGATCTGTCCAATACCTCACCCACCGGGGGAATTGATGCCAAATACAGTCCAATCTCAAACATAAGTTAGAGTATACAAGTGCAAGTATTGCGGTTGCTTGCTATTTTGACAGGTCCGCCCTGCACCTGTGCACATTCGTGCGCAATGAGCCCAAATGCGACTGCTCAGTATGTTATGGTGCCAACATGTGCCAACTTGGCACCACTCCAGCTGCCTTGGGTATTTCAAAAAAAGAGACTCGCTTTGCGGAATCAAAAGGAAACTACCCAATTTTAGGGAGTTACTGGCAATACTTCAGAAAACACGCATTTATGATTTGGAATCCGATCAAATAAAAACAAGAGATTCTGCGAATGTCCCGCCATGTGCGGATTGACCTTCCGCTGCCGAACGCAAATTGACATTGCTTGTCTTAACATCGAGCATTTCGAAAAACAGAATGAGGTTCCACAGTTGCTTGCCCTCCAACAAAAAGAATAGAACCTGCGCAGGGCTCCTGCAGAAAAACCATTTCCTTTTAAGGGGTCCCCTGTGCATGTTCTATGTGTCTTTGTGCGAGGGAAACAATTACTTGTGCTTTCGCTTGGTTTTTCATCGAGGTTCTCTGCCGAGCTGCGAAGCATCGGGACCAGCACCCCAAGCACCCGCACCTGGGCTTCTTCAAAGTGACACAGTGACCCATGGAGACTCTTTGCATCCCGTTTGCCCGACTGGCACTTCTTTCTAGTCATTCACCTTCCAATTTTGCTCTAGGCCAGATGACAAAGCAGACACACAAATCTACAAGGGTACATGATATCAAGTTTTTCTCAGAACCGTGATCTTGCGTCTGCCGCTTCGCTTTAGCTAGGACTGTCCAGGCGGTGAGTCATAATCAAGACCTGGTATTAAATTGTGGTCTACCCACATGTAAATGGGGGGTGAACAATATTCGTGGCCCCCAAATGACCATGATTAACTTCTCCCATTCGCTGGGCAATATCATATGTTTAGTGGTTCTCCCCAAGCGTCCTATGTAAACCTTTCTGATCAACCCCCAAATTATCCAAAAGGACGGAATATCCGCAGCCACGTGACGGATCCGGGACTGTCCTAGTCTGATCCGGGCCAATGGGCAGGGCTCGGTTTCAAATACATCTCTGCCTGCGATGCTGGCAAGGCACTGGCTAAGCCTCACATCAACCAAGCACAGTGTGCAAAGTGGGGGCGATTCAAGCAAACTAGTTTCAGGCTGGAAACAACTTTGTTCCGAAGGATGGCAGAACACAACAACCAAATGTGGACCCTAGTGGATCGTGAAAGACGCTGTGTTAGGGGTCTCCCTGTACCAACACAATTGATATTGTGAACCCATACCCTCGCAAAAACAAACATGGAACCTGAAAGGGATCCTTTTGGGAGGGTAAGAGCTCCTACTGAGAAGGGACTTCGACCACCAACATGGCTGAGCCCATGCTAAAAGTGTTGAGTGTGCCGCTCCAGTCTTCGCCCCAGCCGGCTTGGCCCCAACCTTGGCAAACTTGTCGGTAGGAAAATCTCCCCGATGCCTTGCTTCCCTTGAGTGTCTTCAAGCAAACTAACCACACTAACAAAAAAAAACGTGTCTGGACATCCCTGTGGCCGGAAAACTTGCATTTGGCACCGTCCCAAAAGGGGTTCCTCTTGACATGCCCCTGTGGCAAGGAAAACGTCGCACTTGAAAGACTGTCAATTTCCCTTGAGTGCTGCCGAAAAGGTGTGGTCAACCTGAACAAAGATCACGCTGCAAACGTTCAGCAATTGGCGGTGAAAGGGAGAATAAGGGCAATGCCGACAACATGTGATGCCCAAGAGCAACTAGAAAAGTGACCAATTCAGAGACCCCATTGGATGGTCTCATACAGGCTTCTGTTTGAGGCAAA